ATTTCTTAGAAATAGAACAAATTTTATAATTTACCTACAATGAGGTAGTTTGGTCCCATTAACTGATGTTAAAGAATGATCAGTTAGATCAGATCAGACGTAGGAAATTGAATAGAATTAAATGAGATTTTGACGTAGGACATTTTTTAAAATCATAATTGACAATGGAAATTGTTTTAGCCAATTAGAGAATATGTTTTTAGCCATAGGCGCTACAAAATACACAAGGAAACAACTTGTTAAATATAACGCATAACTGTGAAACTAAAATTCTTTAAAATATACAATGACCTCTTATTATTTTAGTTCGTACCTTTTTTTCCTTCTAAAAGCCTTCAAAAGCGTTAAAATGCTGTTAGTTAGTTATACCAAACAATACAAAAGTATACTAAACTATTGTTGCTTTCAACAACAATTAAGGCCTTAAACTATTTATGAGTTTTATAGTTTCTACAATTTTCAGGTACTTTTGTTTTACTTAGGTGTTACATTTCATTTTCATAAAAAAATCCGACTCAAGGTCAACCCTACATTTCCCACAATGCTTAGTTTATTTACGTAATAGTTTAGTGTCTTGCATAATTGGTAAGCAATTTTAACGGAAGCGGGATGTTAAAACAAAATTGTCAAAAAAACAACAACATATATTAGTAAATTATCTTGAACCGGGGTTTAACTATGAAATTGGATTAAATTTTATTAAAAAGTCGTTATGAATTGTTTACTATTTCAATCAGGATTTATAGATTTGAAACTTGACTTGGTTTTAAATGAATTTGACTTAGGCATTAAATTGGACTGGTCTTTTAAAATAATTGCTTAGTTTTGAATATTGCTTATTAATAAAACAATTGATTTAGCTAAATCCATTGTTATACAAATATACAAAGCTATAGCTTTGTATATTGCTTATCATTGTTATTATTATAAATATTTTTAATAATAAAATTATTTTTCCAAAGTTTGACAACTTGATAAAATATTTTTCAAAATTGAATATTTGATTAAACTTTTATTTTTAGGACATGAATTTAAACTCAAAGCAACATAAAAAATGGTTACAAAAAAGAAAATACACTTTTATCGCTTTTTCAATTCAAATGATTATTATTGGAATGGAATACAGTCTTACCATTATAACATTATGGTTGTACATCAAAGAAATGATAAATACAAACTCACCAAAACTGTATTACAGTCTTGTGTCCGTGTCATACATGGTTGCCTCTACATTACTAACGCCATTCGTTGGTAGACTGGCTGATAGAAATCGAGATACCAATAAGTCATTTCTAATTTGCAATTTTTTGATGCTTTCTGGAAACGTACTATACAGTATCCATTTTTCTCCTTTTTATTTAATAGGAGGAAGAATCATAGCTGGCTTTGGTGGAGCTTTAAAATCGATCATTTTCAGCGAAACAATTCGAAGTTACGTAGCGTATGAAACAAATTCAAAGCTATCAATTTTATCAATTATGCTTAATTTTGGTTTTATGCTTGGACCAGGAATAAATTTCTTTTTTAAAGATATCAATTTTTATATAGGTCGCTGGCATTTGAAAGACGTAAACTTTCCCGGACTCTTTTTGGGTTTTTTATGTTTCGCAATGGAAATTGTTTCCATAATAATGGTGCATGATTTGTCAAAAGAGTTCGATTATAAAGCTTTTAGTGAAAATGGTTTTGTAACAAACGAAGTTAGCAATGAAGATAATAAGATTGAAGACAAAAAAATACCTTTAGTGCAAAAAAATGGTGCAAACAAAGAGACATCCGTAATTGAAGCCGTACCAGAAACAACCGTAACCGAAACAACATTACTATTACCAAGAAACTCAAATCAACATTCTGTAAAAAAGATTTTAAAAGAATTGTTTACGAATTTTGATTCAGCACTTCTTATGTTTTCCAATTTTTTTTTAGCCTTTTTTTTCATAAACACAGACCTATGGCTACCATTACTAGTTATTGAGAAAATGCATCTTTCAATGGTAGAAATGAACATCAGTTTTTTTGGTGTAAGTGGAATCTGTGCTTTAATGTTGGTAATATTTATTTGGAGACCAATATCTGACAAAAAGATAATTACATTCTTTATTATTAGTCTAGGTGGGTTTTGCACAGTCAGTGTAGGTTTTATCATTCTTTCGTATTTTCCTTACAACAAGTTTTTGAATATTTTTTTATGCATTATTTACATGGTTAGTTTTGCTGGTACACCTATAGTTGTGTATGTATTTTTTGTTAACACACAAGCCAAAATGGTAAATTCAAGTATTTTAACATTTGTTGACAGTATTCGATCTTCAATTTACTCTGTAGGAGCATTCTTAGCTTTTTGCTTTTCCGCGTTTATTTTTGACTATGTTGAAATATTCGGAACATTGTATGCAGTCATTATGATAGTTATTGGAATCTTGTTTATTCTCAGAAATAAACATATGATCAATCCAAAACAATTTTTATAATTAGCAAATACAAAATTACAAAAAAGCAACTAGATTTGTTTGTTTGTTAATGAAAATTTGTCTTGCATAAATCACTTACGTTTCTTAAAAATAAGTTTAAAAACTTTGTTTTTTAAAACAAGTATTCTTAGACGGTGCTCTCTGATAAAGCTATTACGTCTTTATAAGGTTTTAAAACTTAGTTTAATGTTAACCCTAACCCTCACCTAACGCTAAACCTAACTCTGACCCTGACACTAATCCTGATAAATTATTTTTTTTTCTTTTTAATTGGTAGTAGATTATATGTTAACATTAAGCACTAACCCTACACCAACACTAACCTTTATTTAAACTAATCTTCATCAAATTAGTTTAAATGATTAGATTAGCAGTTATAAGTTGAATAATTGAAAATTAAATGGTAATTCTAAATTTTTTTTAATGTCGACCTAAATGAAAAACCAGCGAAAATCTTTTTAAAAAACTTATAAAGATTTGGAAATGAATGAGAAGCTCTTTTTAAGGTAGTACCCCAAAAAGTATAGTAAAATTTAATTTTACATAACTATAGTAAATAAATTTAACTATAGTAAAGTTTTATTTCTTAAACATAAATACATCCTTAAAATTAAAAGAAGTTACCTTATTTAAAATTTCCATTATCCAATTAAAAAGCAAAAATTTTATAATTTTTTGTGAAATAATTACTCAAAATATACCAATCATTTTAAGATGAAATTTTAAAAATATTCGAACATAGAAACATAATTCATTTGAGAGAAAATAAAAGAATACTTTAATAATAGTGTATAAAAAACTTTAACAAGTTAGGCGAGTCAATCAAGATTAACATGATCAAAGGATCCAAAATCGAGAAAAAACGAAGTCGAGAGAATTCGAGAAAAAACTCCGTCGGAGTCGAGAAAAAATCGGAGTTTCGATAATATTTTGTTATAAAAATTAAACTATCTATTTGATAAAAAAATTTAACTCTCTATTTGATAATTAAACATTGTTCTTGTATTTTTATTTTTTAATTTTAAATATTTCGATTTATAATTCATAATAAAATTTTAAAAAATTTATATTTTTATATTTCTTAGTACATAAATATTTTTTTTATCACAATTTTTTAACGAACAAGTTATATCTAATAATTGGCTTTCTAACCGGCATCGGTTAGGAAGAAGGCGTGAACTTTCAGTTAAATGCCCTTCTGCGTTGCTATGCAATAAAGACTTGCTGGGGCACCTATAGTAAAAATTAAAAAAAAAATTTGAAAAAAAAAGTATTTATACTGAAGATATTTTTAAATAATATTTTAAAAAGATCAAAACATCTATCATTTCATCAGATAGCGAACTACGAAACTTTGTGACAAATCTGGAAGACGAGGAGAAAACTCTTTCTGCTTTCGAGGAAGTTGCTTGAATTCTGTGGATGGCTAGTTTAAATTTTAAAACTGTTTCTGATTTCACACCAGTTACTTCATATTCTTTCAACTGATCGGTGAAGGTCTTGACTTTTTTTGGTTTTTTAGCTGCTGATTGATTTTGAATTAGAACTTCTTGAATTTCGGAGAAAAAAGATGTCGATTGTGATGGTTCTTCTTGTTTGTTTTTAGCGTGATCATCTGATTTTGATTGGAGACTATTTTCTTTTGTTGCAAATAGTTGATCAAATAATTTTGAAGCATAAATTTGAATATCTTTTTTGGAAGCGTAAAAAAATGTGTGGTTTTTATTTTAAAAAAAATCGGGATTGTGCAAATAACGACTCAATGATACCAACATAACGTTTTTACGATCTTCATATCTGGAGATTAAGGTCTCTGCAAAATTAGAACTGATGTCAGTTTCTGCAACCTTCAATTTCCTTACTAACGTTTCCATAATAATGTCACACTCCAAAATTGTTGTATTTGGTTTTTCCAAGCGAACTGCAGCGTCAGCAACGACTTCCAATAAGTCAGACAGCGATTTTAAGAAATCCAAGTCAATTTCAGCTAACATGTTTAAGCAGTTTAGCTCTTCGAGTGTTTTTTTTACAGCTTCTAAGCAATCCAGAAATCTTTTAATCATCTTAAAAACACTGTTCCATCTTGTTCGGTTGTCGAACAACAGTCCTTTGTCATGCGAAGATCCGTATATTTCGTGTATTTTTCTTTTAAGAACTTCATATCGAAACGATGAATATTTCAAAAACTTAATTAGTATTCAAAGTTTCTGTAGATTTTTTTCGATATTTTCTTCATACTCAATCTCATTCTCCGAATATTCGATAAGAAACTCTCCTTCAGACTCTCCATCAGTTTCTGTTTCTGTTTCAATAATCGATTCAGTTTCTTTGTTCACAATTTTGCGACAATCTTTTTTAGCGTATATCAAATCACAAACTTGCAAATGAATTGAATGATTCTGGCAGATCTGATGTGGAAACTTAAATATGGTACCCAATTTCACCATCCAACTACAGCCATCCGTAGTTTTACCTGCAATATCTTCACTATCTATACCAAATTCTTTTAATTTTTCCATTATCAAAATGTTTAATGTTTCAGCAGAACTAGGAGATGACAATCTCATCATTCCTAAACAATACGTTCTGTCGTGATGAACATTTAAATTGTAGTATCTTCTACCTCTATTGCTACACCATTCGTCACCTGTTAGTCCAAATTTTTCTCCTTTTGCTTTCAATGCAGCCAATTCAGCGATCATTAAGTATTTGGCTTCAGCATGAAACATCTTAATTTTTTCTGAAAATGCGGACGCTGACTTAGGCAAACTATGCCCGTAATTTTCAAAAAGCATTCTTAGTGTTTCAGATTGAGTTATGGACCTAATCGAATACCCATCAAGAGCTGTCAACTTGGCAAGAAGATCGTTTAATGACATTTTAGTCAAAACTGGTCTGGAACTGAATGGTTTCAAATCTATTTTCTCGCAACTTTTGACGTGTCCAATAAGGCCGTTTGTGCTGCTTCCTGGACAAGCGATTCTTTTATGACATTTTTTTGCAATCTCCATACTTCTTATCATTTACCACAACTTTATTAAAGTACTTCCACGCTTCCGAAACCATTTTTTTCTATGAAAGAAAAATTATCAATTTGATAATGACCTCCCATATTTGTTTTTAATTTTATTTTAATTGTGAAAAGTTATCACATTTTAAGTTATTAAGTTATTTATTCTGATAGGTTAGTATAATTAAACATTAATTATTATTATTATTTATTTTTACTGATAACATTTTATTGCACAAATTTGCCACAATGCTCAGTGGGCCGGATTTTAGACTTATGGTGGACAAAATTATTTTGATCATACAAAATACGACACTACTTGTATAAAATGAAAGTTTTATATGTTTTATATGTTAAAAACTTACCTCGTTATTTTACGACCAGTCTTTGTTTATATTATAAATAATGATCTTGACTAAACTTTTTTTTTGTAAAGGTAAATTATTGAGTAGTTAAAATATATAAACTAATATCACATTCGCATAATATTTTAAAAGTTACTGTTTATGATATCTTTGCTTAAAAATTAAAAAGTTCTTGCTTTTTATTATGCATTACATTTTATTATACCGCAATTGATTTTTGTGGATTTAAAAAAATACTAATACTAAAAAGATACTAATATACACAAAAGAGTTTTTGAAATAGTACAATGGAAAAGTATGAGCATGTTTTAATATATGGTTTTGAAAAGAATAAACTTTTTTTGAGGTTTTTTTCACCATCATCACCTGGCCCACTGTGCATTACCAATTGCTTTGCGATGTATATTAGTGTTGTTATTAAACGAAGAGAACACTTACATTTGAAACAATTTTTAAAATTACAATTTACAATTGTAAAAACCACGTAGAAATAAAATAAGAATTCAATTATTTTACGAATAAAAAATTGGTATTTTCTAAAAACTTCGTCGAAGTTTCGTCGAAGTTTCTCGATTTGTCTCGAACTCCGAAACTCCGAGAAAAATCCGTCGAGACGGAGTTCCGAATGGATCCACTGAACATGATAAATTTCAAATGCTAAAACGCGTTGAAAAAAAAACTTTATCTCAAATTAATTTTATTATTATGAAGAACAAAGTATTAGAACTCCAGAATTTTTGCATAATTATTTTAAAAATATTTTAATCGCAAACTTTTTACAAATGTTTTTTTATATACCGGTTGCTAATGCGTTGTTACGATAAAAAGTTTTGGTTTCGGACGAAGCCAAACTATTAATACTCAGTGTTAAAAATGTACGATTTGATTTTATGTAAAATTTATGCAACAAAATGGAGCGATTTTACTCCATTTTGTTGCTAAAATTTTGGAAACATTTTCTTCATGAAACTCTTTTAGTGGATGTTTCAAAGTTACTAAACTAATAATATTCTCTTCTTTTGACCACTCTTTGTACGGCACTATATCCTTATATCCGAAACTATGTTTATTGAAAATATCACTCATATTTTGTTTTAGGTTCTTAACATTGTCATAACAATGAAGTAAAAAAATTTTCTATTTGTTTTGATTTGGCATTTTTTCCCTTAATTTCTTCAAAAAATACCACTTGCTCTGTCGATTTTTTCCAATTAATCATTGTTTATTGAACAATTAATTGTAATTTCACTATTAGAAATATCCGATCTTAGAATTAGAAATTGATTTTATTTAACTTTTGTTAACCATAACTACACCTTTTCAAGATGTAAATGAGAACATGAAAGTTGTAATTAAGAAGTCGTAATACGTAATTAAGAAACACAACATGTAATTGAGAAAACGTTATATGTAATTGAGAAACACAACATGTAAATAAGAAGTCGTAGCATGTAATTAAGAAACACAACATGTAATCGAGAAAACGTAAGATATAATTGAGAAATCATATATAATTGAGAAATCGTAACTTGTAATTGAGAACACATAAATTAAAATAGCAAATTCACAGTCTAAGTTTGTAGGTTGTTACAAAAGGTCTTTTTGGAATTTAAGTTATAATCTTAAATTTTGCTTTTGTATGCACAAGTAATAA